CTAATGTTATTTATACTAATAAAATACCAAATCTATTACACTATTTAATATTTAAAGTAATATATTAACATTATTAATTATTAATTTGAATTAAATAGTTTTAATGTACAATGTAACTCTATCCAGGACTTATCAGATATATAATTTCCTGCTCTGAAAAAAACAATAAAATTAATATTGATGATTTTAACGACAAGATGATTTTTTAAAGTATTTAAATAATTTCAGAATGAATGTAATTCTGAATACTTTATAATATTTAATTTTCAGTTTTCCTATTAAACTGTGTACAATGAGGTTAGTAATGATTTTATGCGACCTTCACTTATTTTTAACACTTATTTAATATTTATTTTTCAACTAGTCATGCACATGTCCAAATACAGTGTATTAAATTTTTATCTCTATCAATGAATCATTCACTAATTGTATTATGTAAGATTTAGTGTTTTAAATTTTATATAAATATATATTGAAAACTTTTATTCTGTAATTAAATATGAACTTTATCTCTTTAAAATTTTTCTTTATACATTTTAAAATTTTTAATTGGTGCCATAAATCTTTTAGAATTAGTTTATTTCCAATTTAGGTAATATATGGAAACAAAATTTATTTTTTTTAATTTATCCAACTTTTATTATTTAGATTATGGACAAAAATAATTTATAATAAATATTTTTTATTTGTACTAAGGCAAGCCTTGTTACAGGAAGTTAATATTGGTGTAGTTTAAAAGTTTACAATTGTTGATTAACCATTAATTTATTACACTTTTTACTTGAGTACAATTGGTAGGAATACATTGAACATATAGTAATACATATATTTATTTGTTTACATATATTTAATTTGCTTTGTTTAACAAGATAATTAATTTACAATAATTTATATCAATTGGTTTCATTGTTTTTTAACTCATTGGTAATTTTCTTAAAGAAATTATTTATTCTATACATTTGTTTCATTGTTAGGTTACTTAATTTGGCTCTAAAATTTTGATTTTGATTACTATCTTCATGATTTCAAAATTTTTCACAGTCCTTAAGTAAATGAGCAGTCTTCTGAGTTACACTAAAGACCAATGTTACTGGTCTTTAGTAAAGTCTATATAAGTATTATTGATAAACAATGAATATTTATTAAGTCTTAGTTGAATTAATAATCTTTTTATATTCATGTTGGTATTTGCAGTTATAATAGTCAAAGTTGAAGGAATATTTAAAGTGTTTAAGTACCATGGATGATAGTTAGACTGGATTAATGAGCTTTGATTCTTATAGATTGGGAGAAAGCTGATTCAATCATTAATGTGTAACCATATTGCCAGTCTGATTCTAAGTTATCAAATACTTTACTTGAAATTCTGAATGTTTGTAGTAATTTGTTGAATTTATACTCCAATAAATTTTTATTATTTAAGCTATTGGTTAAAATTAAATTAAAAATAAAATTAAATTGGTTAAATTAAAGCCATTGGTTTGTTTTAGAATTTCATAATGTAGAAATCTAATGTTATCTTCATTAGTGTTTTTTAGTCTATAGTAGAATTTGATAAGTCTCTTTAAATAGAATGGAAATAGCTGGTACCTATTAGTTTCAGCTCTTATTGCATATGCTGGAACTATTCTTTCTATTTTAAACAATTTTCGTAAGAAAATAATGTGAAATTTTTCTGTCATATAACAGATCAAGTGCCCAAATAGAGCTGGTGTAATATATTTCTTTGAAAGAGGATAATTTTATTACAAAAGGATTCTAAGGATTTGAAAGGGGATAATTTTATTACAGCAACTTTTTTTTGAATCCAAAGTCTCTAGATACATTGACTTGTCTCTAGATACAACTTTGAAATGAACCTAACTAACCTTTGTATTGCCAAACATCTGTCAAATGTCAAATTTAGAGCATGTGATTTTAAATTCTGAACAAACAATTAGAACATTTTTCAAACCAAAGATTTTTAAATCAAAATTTTTAACAGCTTATAAATTTCTCAAATGTATAAGCATTGAATAGAATAAACAAAAACATCTGTATGAGAACAAAATAAAACAAAATACACAAATAAGAATAAAAACAAAAACAAAAAAGCTGTTTTGCATTGTTATCTATGATGTATGTTTTCCTGTGCCTTTGTCATCTGGTGTATTATCGTTATCAGCCATACCTATGAGTTGAGATCTGATCCTTCACATTCTTTCTTAACTATTCCATTACCTATGATAAGTATCACCAATTCTTCCACTATCCTGATTGGAACATTTCTTTTGTTTGGTATTAAAGTTCAAGCCTTCTTCCAAATAGGATCTGTTTTCCTAATGACATAACATGGAGACATTGTAAATATGTTTTACAATGTCTCCAACTTGACGAGGAGACATTGTAAATATATTTTTATTTATATAAATTGTTAGTTGTTATGCAATTAATTTTTTATTAATATTATATTACATTTATTTTAAAAAATTATTTACATATTTTTTAATGAATTAAATAAATAAAGTAGAAACAATTTTTTGAAAATTTGTTTTTTATTTTAACCTTATGAATCGAGACAGTTGTACAGACAAGTTATGTTTAGAGTATTTGAATTTATTATGATAACCTTAATTAATTGATAAAGTCACTATACATTGCATTTATATAACAGTGTTTTTGTTTTAAAAACATTCTGGCAAAATTTCAAAAATTATTGGTAAGATCCTTCCTTTTTTTCAAAGAATAATCAGATTTCAAATATAATAAAATTTACGATAAAAAATATTATTTACTTAATATCTAATTAAAATGACAGTAATTATTATTAATAAATTACAGGAATATACAGTTTAATTTAACCAAATACTATATTATGAGTAATAGAACACTACAATACAAATAGATTATCGTATTACTGATTTATATGAAAATTAATTCAAGTATTTTTTTCCAAAGTGTTGTGTAGGCCTAACAGAATATTGGAGACAAAGTGATTTTGTCTTTTACTTGGGAGGTTTCATTTTTCCGGAGGGGTCAATGCATCAAGCTAAGCTTTAGCTTGATGCATTGTCACCTGGATGGTCAGCTGTCCTGACTGAGGTGGACGTGAATGTGAGCTACTGACCCACCTCTGGATTGGACTATGGTTGAACCAACTAAATCCCTTAAAATCAAAGGGACAAGGACCAAATAGACAGTTGTACAGTTTTTTCTTTAGTTTTGATTGACAGTTTTCATAAACAAGTTTAAGAGTTTCTTTGGAATATTCCAAGTTTATGTTTACTTCTGTACTCTGACAGCAAGTGTCAATCAGCAAATGAAAATTTCTTCTTGGGACAGTCAAATGTTAGTGGCACAACTTTACAAACTCATCCATCAAAGTTAGTAATAAAGAACTGAATGTCAATCAGGGCTGTAAGGTGTCTTTCTGACAAACCTGTACAGATTTCTTAGATGAAAGGAAAGATTGTTCAATCAAATGGATCAATCTATTTGTGAACTTCAATCCAAGCAATTTTTATTTATATATTATATATATGATTATTTCTCACAATCAAGTGTAATATAAATGACAAAAGCTTTCTTTACATCTGTTTAATTCTTTTTTTTCATTTGCCAAGATGCGTTTCGGGTCTATGCCCCTCTTCTGTTTGCTACGATCGTAAGACCTAATTGATTTACAATATGACATTTAAAGTATAACAATTGTATAACAAAGAACGTACCTTTTTACATTTACGTGTTATATGTTTAATTTTTCAAAAATATATAAATGTGGCTTTTGCCTTTAAAATACTAAAATAGTTATAAAAGCTTGGGTTCTTAAACTGCACTTAGCTCTCATTTCACAGTTTACCAAGCTATCACCATTCTACTCTCAAACCCATTTATAAACTTGGAAAACGTAATAATCTCTAAAATTTATCTAATTTATTAAAATATTTAAAAAAAACATTTTCTAAAAAACCAAAAAGGTTTCTATTTATAATACCTATAAAATATTTTAACTTAATTCTATAAGTTTTAATTAGTAGATTTCATTTATACTGAATACGAATAAATTTTAATATTTTTACATTTAGTCATGTATTTACAAGTTATATTTATATTTCATTAAATTATTGATGCAATTATTACATATACACTTATTTTTTAGCATTTTATAATATTTGGAGCCAGTTTTCATTTATTTTGACACTAAAATTTGTATTAATATTATTCTCAATTTTGAGGATTTCTACACATTCTTTAAATTTCATACTATATGTATTTTTTCTCTTTTTAAAATTTTAACATTTTCTCTGTCTATATTGCAATCATTCAGTGTACAATGATCGTAAAACATAGAATTAGCTCTTTGATACTTTAAATCTGCTATATGCTCTTTTAGTCTGACTTTCATTTGTTTTTTAGTTTCTCTATGTAGTATTGAGTATTTTCACAAGTACACAGGATTGAATATACAATGTTATTTATCTAATTTATTTCTTGTTTCTTCAAGCAGTCAACAAAGAACTTTTTCTTTGTTGACTGATTTCTTCTTATTGTTAAATGTAATTTATCATACATGGGAGCTAATTTAACATTAATCTGGCTTAATTCCTTGTCAATTTCCTCATATAGTCCTCTGATGTACGGAAACGCAATGTATCTGACAGTTGATTTTTGGCGTTCTACTGATTTTCCTGATTGTTTAACTATATTTATTTTTTTCCCATTTTTTTAATCAATCGATTTGGGTATCCATGTAACAAATTTTTTTTTTTAGATCACATATCTTTATTTATATCATTATATTTACTTGTCCTACTTTGTATTTTATGGTATTTGATATTAAATACATTTTCTTTAATATATAAAGGGATGTTAGATTTATAACTAACATCCCTTTATAACTAACATCTTACAAAAAAACTATAACAATTCTATAAGCATTTTACATTAATTAATTATTTTTATTTGATTTACAATAGTTTAACTTTTATATAAATTATTTATTGAATTACTTTTTTTTGCAGACAATATTTTCCAATTATTCAATTGATATCAATGTGAGATGGTTAGCTGTGTTGTATTTTAAAAATGGTGTTGATAGGTATTGGAGAAAAACTGCACCTAAGTAAGTATTGATGATTGAAATATTTAAAAACCATTAGGCTATTAATAATTAAATAATAAATTACTTTGCATATATCATTATATATATATCAGGGTGATTTAAAAGTTCCCGGACACTGACAACACTTTTGCAAAAACGATCTTTAGCACTGGCACAATATTGCTGTGAATGCAAACAAGTTGGTACTTGTGACATCATCAAAGCATGTACTATCATTTTATAGAGCTGTGCAATCATTTCATTGGTGAATATAGATTTCCACAAGAAAGAATGACTGACAAAAAGCTCATCATTTGATGCATCTTGCTTCATTACTGGAAACAAAAGTTCAGTGCAAGGGTGGCAGCAGAGAAAATTTGTGAGATTGAAGGCCTAGACCTGATGAGTAAGACAACTACAGCTGAATTATTCTGCTGTTTCAACTCTGGGAAAACCAACCTCATAGACTAGTGTGGATGACCATCAACCATTGATGATGAAGCACTGTTCCAAGCTGTTCAACAGGAGCCAGGTAGCAGAACTTGTTGACTGTCTGCTGGACATTTGAAACACCTTGTTTTCACAGCAGAAGACTGAGAAGTATTACATGAACCGACAGAGCTGCAAGCACAAAGGAAGATACAAGTTTGCATCACATGTAGCAAAATCCAAGAGACAGGTTCTGGTGCGGGATTGTAATAGGAGATGAAAAAAATGGATCTTTTTCAGAAATCCTAACAGAGGAAACCAGTGGCTCTGACCAGGTAAAGTGCCAGCACAAGTAGTTCAACAAGGACAGTTCAAATAAAAAAATTATGCTGTGCATTTTGAGGAATTTGGATATTCTAGTACATTGGAAGCTGGATCTTAATAGCTGGGCTGTGGATGGCAACGTTTATGTTGAGCAACTGGAATGGATGTTTTAAGTCCTGCATTCTCGCTATCTAGCATTGTTTAATCAAAAGCATACACTGCTTCACCACAATAATCTCTGGCACAGCATTCCAGAGTGATTCAAGAAAAATTAGAGGTGCTGGAGAGGATCAAATTTTTGCCTAACCTTGCTCCATCAGATTTTCACCTCTTCTGGTTATTGACATATTTTCTATGAGCACATTTCTTTAATACCGTGCATGGTGTTGAAAATGGGGTTTATGAGTTTTGGCATTGAAAGCAACCAAATGAATCCACCAACTTGCAGAAAGATGGGTCAACACCATAGCTAACAATCACATTTATTATTTCAAGGAATGATCATGTCTTTGTGTTTTAATATCAGTAAAGTTTTGTATCTTGTGTCTGGGAGCTTTTCATCAATCTGATATAAATTATTTTATATGTATAGAATGTGAATCAATTTACTTTCCTGTAGGTCTTATCATTATCTACAACTGTTAATTCTGGAGAGGTTCACTTGTTTTTTGTTTACGGTCATATATGAGTAACTAGCAAAAGGTCAAAAAAAAAAAAGTTTGAACTTTCTAGATGAGGGTTGCTTTTTGTTTAACTAGCAAGCAGAAAAAATCTTGTCATACATATAAATATAAAGCAGTTCATTAACTCATTATTGATTTATCATAGGTTTTTATGAGAATTTGATTAATTTGTTCTGGAGACCCCAAAAAATAAAAAATAAATACTTTCTTACTACATTTATTTATATGTAATAATAAAAAAATATATATATATACACAGTCTTGCATTTTTATTAGTCATGTTTTTCCCATTTGTTGTTAAAGAATCTGTCTAATGTCAATTGTTTTTCTCTCTTCTTCAGAATTTTTCAGAAGTAATTAATACCATTGTAATTGTAGAGATCCCTAAGCTTATTAACCTCAACCTGGTTTGGATGCCATTCTAAGACCGTTGTTCTGACATCCTCCCGCTTCTTCAAAAGATGTTTAATAGCAGATATTGGCATTAATCCTCTTTTTCAGAAGAAAACATATCTTGCCAAGTTTCTTGGTGTTCTTCATTCAAGAGCTCTTGGCATTCTTCTGTCGTCAGATCAGTTTCAGGTTCCATTATGAGCTCTTCAATGTTCTTTATTTCTCAGATGTGATTTTTATTACTCTTAAGCTGCTTGAGTCTTCTTGATTGTACAGTATCTTTCTTAGATAAGATTGAACTGTGGCCTACTGTAGATCTGTTTAAGTCATACTACCCAGCAACATCAGATATCTGCCTACTCTCTACCTATGCTATTATACTCTCACCTTTCGAAAATAAAAACCCTCTCTCATTAATACTATAAAAGAATTGTTTCTGTCAGAAAAATAAAAGGCCGGAATTAAAGGGAGAGTTTCAAAATTTGGAGGAATTCTCTCCAATCAGTATGTACCGGGTTGAGCATCAATGTCGACATCTCCCGCGCTCCAAAAAGTTTCAAATTGTTGCCTGAAGACAAGGGAAGACCAATTGGTATTTGTTATTTTACATTGCTTCTTCTTGTGTTTGTTCTGTGTGGTGTTCGTTATCCAAACATGTGTTCATTGTCTGAACATAAAAATCTTTTGTGAAAGTGTTCGTTATATGATTTGTTCGTTAACCGATTATCCACTGTACTTCAAAGTGAAGGAATTGGATTCCTAAGAGAGAGTAATTATCATTTCATTTCCAAATTCTTTTTCCTTTTATTTTCTTTCTAATTTTCTTACATAAATTCTCATTGGTATTTTTGAATTATAAAATACGTATATTGTTTCATAAATTAATCAGAATCTTGTGTATTTTATTCTTTAGCATTAAAACATAACTTTGAATTTCTGTGAGATAAATTCCTTTTTTTTTTCTCTTAAACTCTTTCTACTTCTGTCAGGTTTAAGTATTAAAATATTTTTAAACTGACTGAAAGATAAGCTTATATTGTATAGGATTTTTAGAATTAAATATAATATAAATTTAACTAAATTTTAATTTTCTATAGATTACCACACAAACTTGATCTAGTTCTTTCAAAATCAGGTCCAAAAATTAATTGTATTTCTATTAATTTGCTTTCTTTTTAAAATTTGAAAAGAATACTTATCAGTGATCTGTGTTTGAAAGTATTTATAGAAAAATTAGCTTAGCTTTTTTGTTGCTTTAAAATTTTAAGTTATGTAATGATATATTAAATTTATGATATTTGTGGTCATTAAATACAATTTATGTGATTTTTTTTAATAGAAATAATTAGCAGTCATTTATCTAATTATTAACAGAAATGTTGCAATGACTTGTTATTATTTTTTATATAAGAAGCAAATTTCTGTTAAATTTTTTATATTTTTATATATCATTTTAGTAAAAGCATTTTTGAAATATTTTCTGTCAAAACCTTAAATTTATCATGGATTTTAAAAAACTTACAATGCTGCTTTAAAAAAAATGCAATTAATCCTTTACAAAATTTTAAATTAGTAATTGCTTCATGTTGATATGAATGTTGTGTTGTTTCTGAGATTATTATTTATATACAAAAAATATATAAAATTTAATTATAGAAGGAAATTTTAAATCATATTCTTAATATAAAATTGCAAATTAATTTTATTATTATTTTACAGTGCAATTTCAGAAGATGAAAAACATATTTTAAGGCAAAAATTAATTTCAAATTTTACAGAACCTTTCAATAAGGTAAGTTATTTTTTCAGTTTTTTTCAAAACACTTCTTAGTTTTATATTAATATTTATATGGATCTTAGTGTGATTTAAAAAATAACAATGATTGTTTTAGGATTATTAGTTTATTATTAAACTAGCTGTTACCCGCAACTTTGCCTGCACAGATTTTGCAAGCAAACCCCATTTATATTCAGTATTTCAATAACCATAGTAATTGTTATATAACACCTACCACTGACAATGATGAGAATTGCTGAGAATCAAATAAACTATTTTCAATTTGATCAATTTTCTGGAACATTTACAGTCATTCTATAATCGAACCAATATGCAATAACAAATTTGAATTTAAAATGGTTCGAACATTTGGTTAAAGAATCGAAATATATAAAAATATTTATAACAATGTCTGAAATGTTATCAATTTAATATACCTATACTCAATGAAAACTAAACGTAGTTGAAAACAAAACATCGCATCCCTTCTTAGTGTGCATTCTCATGGTGTACCCTACTAAAATGTAGTTAAAAACAAAAAAATTGCATCTAAAATATTACAGTAGAAGCTATTCTTCAGGTTAAGCCTTAATCCTCTCCCTCTCTCCCCATGAGGGAAATTTCCAAAGATTCCTTCTTAGTGTGCATTTTCATGGTGTACCCTAACTGTGTACAAAATTTCACGTCTTTAGGTTCAGCAGTTTGCTCTGGCGATGATGAATCAATCAGTCAGGACAAGTAATTTTATATATTTAGATTATTATAAAATCCAGTTTTTAAATTATTTCTTTTCATATCTTTAGGATTGCTAAGGAATTTCAAAACCTGTTATTACAGTAAATGTTTGAATTTATGAAATATCTTTAAGGAAGATTGGTTCGGATCTGAAATATGAACATCAGGAAGATATATTGATAGTTATTCTTTTCATTGCTCCAGCTAGAGCTCTTTTCTAGACATAAATAATAAAATAACTTATATAGATCTAACATTTTGTTTTTATTTGGCAATAATAAAAATGTATTAATTAATAAATAATTTATCATATTGTTTGTCTGTTACAAACTTCAACAACAGCTAACATAATTCCAGCAATTTAAGTTATTGTATTGTGAAAAAATAATGATTAAATTAAAGCATTGATTATTACTGACAACAATAACTTACATTAATTCTGTGTTATCAGCCACATGTTGAGACTGTTAACACTATAACTTCTTCATGCACACCAGGGTGTGTATATAATACAAATGTTTTCTGAACACCTTCTGTCCTTCCTCAGGTAAAACGGCTGGATTCCTTATTCTAAAACACCGTTAATTTGCAACTTTTCAACTTTGCAGAAACAAATGGAAAATGTTTGTTTCTTCAAAGTTGTTTATTGTATTTCTTCACACTGGTTAGAGGCTCGAGTAAGTAGGTTTTATTTATTTACTATAAGCACTAAAAACAAACCATAAAAAGGCTTATTTAACTGGAAATAACAATAAACAAATTCTGATTACAGTAAGTGACATTTTTATAATGCATGTTTTGGACCTGTTAATTTTGATAACATTATCCGTAATTACAATAAGGAGAGTCTACTGTATAATCAATGTATTGGAAATGTAATATTTTAATTGAAAGTTAACATATAAAATTTTTTAGATTTTTTTTGGTCATGTTTTATATATAATTTGATCACTTTCTAGAAGTATTAATTAGGATTTATGTGAAATATTTTATCAGTTTTATAATAAAAAAAGAAAAAAAGCATTTATAAACATACAATAGATATTCTTAAAATAAGTTGTTTATACAATGCAATCTGAAGTCTGAATTATATTCCAAATAAGTTTTCAAAGCTATTTCTAAATAAACCAAATAAAATTAATTTCTGATTAATATTTTATAAGTTGATGACAGTGATTTAATCAAAAATAGTATAATTATAGTTCAAAAATTCTGGCATATTTATATTTACATTTAATTACATATAATTAATTAAAATTTTTTAAAACATAGATTTGTTACCATGGTGCACACTCAATTTATACATTAAAAATTCAGGCAATAGAAAAAGAAGAAACATGTTTAACTTCAATTCATGCTCTTATATATAGTGTCTAAAATTGTTATGTAAAGATATTTTAAAGGACACCTGTTATTCTGAAATATATAAATGCATAATTATCAGCATTTATTTATATAATTTGCAATTTTATTAGGTATTATTTTTCTTTTTTATGTTATTTTGTTCTGTTAAATTGTTTTAACAGAACAATTAATAATGTATTAGAATAATTTGGAAATGAAAGATTTCATATTAATGTTTCAAAATTATATATATATAAGAATATTGAATATAATTTTATTTATTTATTTATTAATGCAGGCAATGTCACTAAGACAAATAATTGTCAGCCCAATACAACAAACATGTCCCTTTAAAATATATACCAAAATACAAAAAAAAATGTGTACAAAAACATAAAATAAGAATAACAAATATAACAGTAATAATTTAAATAATGGTGAATACTATATTAAAGATAATACTGATAAGTCCTCATCTTATTTTTACTTGTAAACTAGAAATTACTAGATTTTGTAATAATTGTAATATAATAGATCATTTTAATAATTAACTAGAAATCTAAAAATTTTATCTGCATATCTTTTATATGTAATTTTTTTCCAATAATTTTGAAAATGTTTTATTTTTGGAATTTAAATTATTTTTATTATTTTAATTTTCAGCTTGCTATTCAATTAGCTGTACTTATATCAAAAATTGCTAGATTTGATTGCCCAAGGGAATGGCCACAACTTGTCCCAACTCTTCTTGAAGCTTTACGTACGTCAGATGATCTGCAACAACAGAGAGCACTTTTGACACTACATCATGTTACAAAAGCATTATGCTCTAAACGCCTTGCTGGAGATAGGCGATTATTTCAGGAGGTTTGTGTTGTTTGTTGCATTATATAACATTTCCCTATAAAATTTTCAATTATTTGCATATGGTTAAAATTTAAAATATTTGATTTAAAAATTTTTAATAGTTTAGTTATATTACCAGAAGTTCTCTCTTTAATTTAGTTTTTATTTAAAAAAAAATTATTTTGTTCATACAATTTATATTTTGTGTGAGAAACTTTAAAGAGTAACTTCAGGACAATTTAAAGATGATTAAATCTAACATGTTTTCATTACTTTTATTATAAGTTATTACAGAAATTGCTACAGAAATTGCTTACTTATTATAAGTTGTCAAATGTAGTCAAGTTTATATCTTTAATTTTGATCAAATACAATTAAGTTTTTATTAAAAATGATAGAATCAAATCAAATAAGATTTTGTATTTTCTTGCTTGAAATTAGATATACTTATTTGGCATGAGCACTCATTGAGTATCATAGAAATAGTGTCCAATGAGTGCTTTCACAATAAAATTAGCTAGATTAGTGTTACATGAATGCACAGATGTATTTCTTCATCCATAGTTATCATTCCAGAAAAGATGACATTTTTTCAGATAAAATTAGCATCTGAGTAAACATGGATGATGCCTACAACTTTATCACTTTTTATTGATAACTACTAGAGATTTTATCAAGATCAAATTATGATTAATCTTGAGTTTGGATATCTCAGTTTTGTACTTTGATGGATTTTTCCATTTGAATGCCATATTTTTTATTCATATCTTAAATTTTGACTCTTGCTCTCTCATTCTATTTTTCCTTTGCTTTTTTTAATTATCTGTTTTTTAGATAACTTACAGCTGTTTTATCATGTAAACCTGCAACAAATGAAAAGAAAGAAAATGTACAGTACAGTAAGGTATAACCTTATTGTATTCAAAATAGATCAACAATCAACAATAATAATAATACAGTAGTATAGTTTAGCATTAAGATTATCATGATTAAAACTATTGAAAATGAAACTGTTTTTATTGTCATGTTTTCCTTTTATATTTTTCCAAAAATGAAAGTAAAACCTCCCTAATTCAAAGCTCCAAGAGTCAGGAAAATGCTTGGAGTTACAGACAATTCAAGTTAGAGAACAATACAGTAAAAAATGCATATTCTGAATAGATTTGTATTTTTATCTTTCTTGTATTACATAAAGAATCTTTGATAGTTTTTTGTTTGGTTTTAAACAGTCCAAGTAACACCTTTCAGCAAAATGTTCAATGTAACTAATGGAATTGAACAGTTTTGGAGGTACAGTACATCTTGTTGAGATAAAGCAAGAGGGCCTCTTGTTTTGGACTGGAACATTGTCTGAAAATTTTATGGAAATCTGATAATTAGGATCACTTTGGATAGAATAAATGTTAAAATTCTGGTCAGGGAAGTAGAAAGTAACATATATCAGTATTGGGGGATCATGAAAAACTTCAACTTGGAGAAAATTTGAGTTAAGAAATTCAAGTTGTAGAAGTTAAATCCCTTTGCTATTCCATTGATACCTATTGAGTGCTTCATTTTCTTTGAGTTACAGATGTTTGAGTTAGAGAGGTTTTACTGTATATTATATTGCAAAAGATGAAATTTATTGATTCTAAATGGGTAAAAACATATTAAATTAGTTTCAGATTTATTTATTGCTATTAATTTCTGAAATTACCATTTATTTAGTTATTTAGTTTTAGAAATTGAATGTTGATTTAAATGTTTATATATATTTAATTCTAAAAAAGTTGCATTTGTTTAAAATTATACAAAATAAAATTTTAAAATTGTTTTTTTTCCAGCTCACAACTAATATTTTTAGTTACATACTCCAATTATGGAACACTCATTCTCAGACATTTCTACAATCAACTATGCAAAAGCAAGATAACGTCATTAGTTTAGAAAAATCATTGTTTTCATTAAAAGGTAAAAATAATGATTGCTTTAATATTTTACTAATTAATTTTTATTAAAAACAGTAAAGTCTGTAAATAATGAACATTATTAACAATAAATAAATTTGAATTTAAGTAATTTGTAATAAGAAATTAATATTAGCTATTTGTGAACATTATTTTGTTATTGTATACTTTTTTACAAATAATTTACAGTAACTAAACAAAAGATTGTTGACATGAAAACAATAAAAGAAATGATTTTCTTTAAACATGAAAAAATTTGAATTAACATATAAAAATATTATCTCTCTAAATAATGTTCATTATTTAGATCTCTAAATAATGTTCATTATTTAGAGACTTATAACATTTGTAAGTTGTTGTTATTTTTTTATTGTTGTTTGTCGTTATCATTATCAATTTGATTTGGAGTAACAATACACGATATTTGTATATTATACGTTTTTGGATTAAGGTATTGCTTAATTTTATTTCTTTTCATGAATCAGTGCTGTCCAAGATATTCAGATTTAAACATGTAATGATAAATAAAATCATTTAATTTTTACAAAATTAAAAGTATTATTACTGTATATTGCTGTAGTTTTATATCTTGGGTCCATGACATCCATTTGATTCTTTCTGTGACAATTATTTAAAATACAGTTTATCTTAAACACAGCCACAACATTGTTAATCAGTTGTCAAATAGTAAATAAGTAGTAATGACTTGAAACTATATGAGGTCATTCACAAGCCATGTGGGATAAGTTGCCAAATATCACCAAAAATTAATAAAAACAAAATGAGAGATTTTGATTAAAAATTTGGTTTTTATTTATTTTTATTATTATTATTTTTCTTATCTTGATATTCTTTTGTATGTATAGTTGTCTGAAGACAAATTGATGAAAAGGTTTCTAAATAAGTATGTATTGTATAAGTATGTATGTCAGTTACTGAAAATAGCAGTCTTAAATCCTTAAGTCTGTTTATTTTGATATTATTGTTAAAGATTATTTGGCAAATTAATTCTTGATTTTGTAAGTAGAATTGTGTGGTTGGTAAAACTGTATTAGATAGATAATTTTATAAAATTTGTGTGACATTTGCATACTTTTTTATACTTGAAACTGAAATTTTTATCCAACAATGAATTATGTGCAGGTGACAAGAGAAAATGTATTTGTAATTTTAATGCACAGTGTGGAAAATTCCTATTGTTTTATCAATACTAATGGAAAAAAGATCCTTGCCAACATATTTTCCTAAAAGTTTGAAAATTTCCTATGTACTACTGGAAAATTTCCACTATAATATACTATGATGGAGAATCATAGTATATTACGGTGATATTAAATTAATGCCAATGATAAAATACAACAGATTTTTTTGCTGTTTAATGTTTTTTCTCTATCACAGTTCACGTGATATTAAAATTATACTTTATGAACATGTGATTAAATCAATGAATAAATTAACAATAAACAATCACTAGGCTAAATATATTTTTATTTGTGTGATCCAATATGTAGTAAATGCATATTATAATACATTTATTAAAAAACTTAAATTAATAAAATAAATTTTATCTATATTTTAGTTTTAAGAATGCTTGTTGTACATGGTTTTAAAGAACCTCATCGAGTAGAAGAAGCCGTTCAGTTTATAACTATTGTCTTCCAGCATATTAAGCCTTTCCTTGAGTGCCGTAAGTGAATGTTTTAAAAATTTAATATTACATTTCTATAAATTAAATTTTAATCAAGCAATGCATGTTTTAAAAATTTTCAATGATTTACAGGGAAAACTCTACAACATAATGACAATCTCAGGGAATTATGTGAAAAATATTTAATTTTATTGACAAAAGTTGTAAGTATATTGAATTTTAAAATGTATGAATGAAATAAAACATTATACTAGGAGTACAATAGAAGTTTGTTAAACCAGCACTTAAAGGACCATGAATGAATGACAGATTATCTTTGCTTTATTTGTAAATTTGAAACTGTGTCTTCCTGTTTTCTCTATTTCTTCAGCATTAATGAAGTGCAATAAATCAGACTAGGCAGTTTTTTCATTTTTTATTTACTATTTTTTTGGTTGATATGCATTTCGGTTATCAATACCCTCCTCAGTCAACTTTTATTTTGTTGTCTATAGTTTTAGATATCAATGAATTTTTGCAATAGTAGAATCAAGATTAAGAGATGATAATGAAGAAGTACAGAAAAAGAACAAAAATTGTAAGGGTATAACTTAAAAACACCTTTTTAAAGAAGGTGTGTTTTAATAATACAAACTTTTAATCCAACAAACCATAAAAGTCAAATGAAGAGAATAAAGCCAACAACCATACATGCACCCATTTTAAGAAATTATGTTCTAGTATTGCAAAAATTCATTGATATCTAAAACTATAGACAACAAAATAAAAGTTGACTGAGGAGGGGTATTGATAACCTGAAATACATATCAATCAAAAAAAGAATAAATAAAGAATGAAAAAACTGCTTAGTGTCTGATTTATTGCACTTCATGGTGCTGAGGAAATAGATTATTTTTGTTTTTTTTTGCAAAATTTGATAAGTTATATGAAATTTGAACATTGCAGACATTGCTGTAAATTTTGTACCAGTGCTACTTATGCTTCCAATTTGTGTATGCATATTATTTTATCAGTCTGAAGATAATACAGGGCATGACTGTACTGTGTTAAGAATAATTGAAAAAAACCTATAACACAAAATCAATATTCACAATGATTTGCATGTGTATATACAATAAAAATTATTTTTCAGACATGTACTGTACACAAATGATTCACAAAAGCTATCTGTGCTCTGAGTTTGCGAAATCTGTTTTTAGGTGCACTATCCTAACATTAACCTGTGGGAAAGAAAATAAAAGCATTGGTGAAAGTGTCTGACCTGACACAAAGTGCTGTAATAAAATGAATTGTTTCTCTCCATCTGATGGTTGTCCTTTCAACTTGTACTAATATACAACCACACCTACTTTTGCATTTACTTCTGCTTAAGATGTTTAGTGCATTACATATACAAACAAATTCCAATTTGTGGAAAATTATTACTATATGCAGGACAATTTGGCATTATTGGCTATTTTTCAGTGTGTACTGGATTACTGGACATTCTGAATTATCAAATGATGAATTAACAAACTTCTATTGTAATTATAATAATTTTGAACAAATTTTAGTTTCAATAAAAAATGTACTAACTTTTAATGATATGATCGTATGTTGATACTTAACTAAAAGTTAAAAAATAATAATATTTTTGTTTTGGATTAATAAACAGGCTTATTATACTCCTAAAGTATAATTGGGAGTATAATAAGCCTGTTCATTAATCCTAAGTAACTATGTTTTTGTAATTAAATAAGCAGCTATGTTTAACAAAATTGACTAATTCAGGAAGAATATGACTGAAGTTTTACTGATATTTTGTGCAATGTATTGGATTAAAGAAAAGGTCTTTTTTTTTTCTATAATAAAATATGCAGTTATTGACTTGTTAAGGAGACTCAGATCAGTTTAATGTTATAATAGACATTATCTGTAAGAAAATTTCAGACTACAGATATAGAGTTTAAGTCAAAAAGTTATAATAACTATATTATAGAGAAACACCAAATAATAATTCTTTATCCTTGCTGTTTTTTAAATTTACAATCTCTCTTAACATTTATTTACGTGTTTATTTCCATTATTTTGTTTATAATATACATTAAATTTGAAAGCATCTTATTATAAATAACTTTTAAAAAAATTTAAAATTTCACTGCTTTTAAATTTTTCTAATTTATATGAATAGAATATTTAGAGTTTAATAATTATTATAGAATAATTAAATCTTTTTAATATACTGTAATTTTTCTAATAATATGATAATTATATATATTTTTTTTAATTAAAACATAAATTATAATTAATTAATTATCTCAAACTACCAATTTGTAGAGATATAAAAGGCTTATCAAACTGTATTGGAGTGTTAGAAATTTGAGATTACATCAATGATCTTGACATACCATCTCAATTTTCTAATGTTCCAATACAACCTTTTATTTCTCCACAAATTGGTAGTTTGAGATGAGTAAGTAATTCATTGGAGGCAAAAAACTTATAACTGTATAAATTATAATTGTTTAATTTGCAATATAATTAAATTTTGTTCACTTTCATTCAGTTAAAAAAACTATTAATTAGTTTATAGAGATTAGATGTATTAGAAAATTTATCTTAATCAAATAAAAATAAAATTTGAATTTTGTTGTTAGATTAAAATGATTATTTGTAAACATATTATTTTCTTTTTTTTTACTTTAAATACTTAGAAATACAAAAATATTGCTAATTATATAAAAATAAATTTATCTATGAAATAATTTAGAATTTTAGAATATTTTACAACAAAATTAATACATATTTGTTAAGGCAATCTTGGCTTATTTTATTCCATTTGTTAGAAATAATATAATTAAACAAATCCTATAACAATAACACTAAATGTGGTGGACAATAGATGCAACATCATAATCAAATGTGGCAGATGAAAGGAAAAAGTATGCTAACAACTTGTATTGATATCTGCTACTAAATAGTGATTTTTACTCATTTTTCACAGTTGTATTATATTGAATCATATTGTCTCGTGGTAGAACCATAATAACTTTTTTAAAATTCTTTCCGCCCTGTGGGTGATAAGAGAGCCTTTTTAGCAAGCCCATTATTTATTTGGCCAGGTTCACAATGAGGTAGATGGGTGATAAGGGACAAGACCCAACAGATCAAAAGGTCTCTCCTCTAAAATACTCTTCTGGGTTTTTCTACCTTTGTTTGTCTGTCCTTCTGGGTTTGTCTGGATTTGATCCAGAGTATTAGAGTGGTAGGATAACACTTTAACTGCTCAGCCATTCAGCATATAATTAATGCACATTGAAAAAATTGAATATGAATAGTTTAAATGTATAATTTTGAACCCTTTACTTTTCAAAAATATTTTTAATAAACAATATTATATCTGTAATGCAAATTATGTATAGTAGTATAGTGTGAATAATTCACTGAACTAAGACTTAAACCAGTGAAAGTATAGAATTTTAATTTACTAATGGAAAATAATTTTGTAGATTAAATTACAAAACAATAATGTTTTGTATTTATTATATTATGTCTTTACTTTTCATTAAATATGGTGCCAAATTTTAAAGATTTTCAGTGTATTTATATTATTATGGAATAATTTAAGTTAAAATTTATTTATTATTTGTATTGATGTTCAAATCTTTTACATATTTACAGCTCCATGATCTTTTGGAACTGCATCCATTTTCTTACGTGAATTTTATTAGACCATCTTTGGAATGTTGTGTATCTCTGTGCTTTACAGCAGAGGGAAATGGTAAATATATTTTTCAAATATTTATAAACATTTATAAACATAATAAATAAACTATTCAATTATTGCATGTGAACATTTGCAAAAACTAATGTGATATCAGTCAGAGCCAAGGGGGTGATCCCTAATGACCACTTAATCAGCATGGGTTGGTAAAACATGATCTCTGTCTGTTGGATGGCTAGGAGGGCTATTAGTGGAGTGGGGCGGTTGCGAGTCAGTATAGGAGGAATAACGACAGGTATCCAGGTTAACAAATACAAACAAAGTTTAATCTAAAGAACTAAAATTTATGTTACAAAAGTTACAAAAATATACAACTAAATGACACTTGTAAATGTGTTGCTTTGTGAGGTGTGGTTCAGGTTTCCTAAAACCTAATATCGAACATGGAGAGAGAGTTTACAAATTTGCTACTTTGAATACCTCTGAGAACGATGATGTTGAGATGCTGGTTGAGGTTCCATTCTAATAAGGCAATTTGAGTTGTCATCTTCTATGGGACAGTCTGCTTTGGGACAGTCTGCTTTAAGCTATTCTGGATATGATGGGATGGAAATCTTCTAAGGGAACTGGGTGGCTGGAGTTTGCTGGTTTATGGCTGTCCAGGCTGGTCAACCCGAGTTGAGTTCTCGTCTCCCTTTTATCGAAAAACTCATTAGGTGATTGGATGTTTGTCAACGCATCTGCAGGAGCTGTCATGACCATATTTGGTTTGAGACTTATACAGTTCCTTCTATTTACTTGACTTTCTTCTCCTTTAAGAATAAGCTGTTTAATTTAACACTTGATTGTTATAATTCTTGACAGGTTGTTGAATGTATGGGTGATATTTAATCTGTTTCCTGTGCAAAGTTTTCTTTATGATTGCAATGGAGAAATAGACTTACGAATTTTCCAAAATTTGCATAAAATTGGACCTACGATCCTCAGACTAAACAGTTGGAATTTGAATCCAGTACAATATAGTCAAGAGTTTGGCTATTCAATTAAATATTTTATTAAAGATTAAATTGTTTCTTAATTTTTATCATCATTTTTCAACGAAATTTTAGATTTCTTAATTTTTAATGCATATTTTCATTTACCAATGGTAGTAAACTAACTAATATTCATGAGGTAGAGAAAAATGGATGAGGATTATACTATTAACATATTCTCTAGGATAGAAGAAATACTTTAAAAAAATTAAAAGAATATCTTCATAATTGTTGATATAAAGGACAAATTATGATGATCTTTCAATTTCTTTAGAGTAGAGCTATATTTCTGAATATTTCTTCTATCCTAAGGCATATTTTTAATATTTATGAAGTTATATTAACAGTAATAACGAACAAGTAAAAATTATCAATTTTATGTTTATTTTACTTAATTATTATCTAAGAAAAACTAATATTTTTACTTGATCATGTCTTAAATATTTGAAATATATCATAACAGTGAAAACAGAATTTTTTTTTCATCTGTGAGGTATAAACTAATAATGATATCAAATGAAATATATCTTGAAGCTATAATTGTAATTGTAAAATTTTATTTATATTTATGCCACTTAATGAGCCTGATATTCTCTATAATTTTAATTCTTCTATTTAATAGAAATGACACAAAGAAAATGCAACAGTTTCTTATTACTAGCCATTATACTATTGTAGACTCATTTTTCTTAGTATATGGTAATGGTTTCTCACTAAATTCATTTGATTTTCATAAAATTATATTTAAATTATTCATTCTTTTAATGTTACAAGTAAATAAATTTTGTGCAATCATTATAATTAAAATATTTTATCAGATATATTGTCCATCATCATAATTTTTTGTGATATTAGTAAATAACTACTTTGATTTTGTCTTCCTATTTGATTCTTAGAATTTTTACTAGTGAAGCAGTTAATTTTTAAGAATTATTTACATAAGAATGAATTTATAATACAATTTAATTTCAAATTAAATTTTATTTTTTTTTTATAAATTGTATTTACAACAGCTTATTAAATAAATCAATTAATTTTTGATTATTGTTAAAATCTGTATCTATATTGTTAATGTGTTTATACGAATGCATTTTTCACATTTTTTATAGAATATATTAATTGTGAATTAAAATAAAAGACATTAATATACATAATTTATTTTTTCAGATTATTACCTAAAAATATATTATTATATGAGAGAAATATTACATATATTTTTTACTAAAAGGGAAAGAATGATATGCAACAAATAAAAATATTATATTGATTTTTTTCTTACATTTAAATTACAAATGCTGTTACACATCATTGTACAAAAATGTAATACAACAATTAAAACTTCAATGATTACAAAAAGTTATTCTATCAGTACATTGTAAATACATGTTTATTTTATAACTATGAATAATTTTAAAAATTATATGTACAGTACTTATAATATAAATATGTATTTTTCTGCAGAAAAGTTTTATTGTTTTATTCTGTAAATCTATTTCTAAAAAATTGTATTTTTTTTTTTTCTTCTAAATTTAAGAATTATTTATATAATAATAATGTTAAAAATAAAAAATTGATATATTAATTTAGGGTACATTAATCTTAAAATATTTTAAACATGGTTATATATATTTCCCATTGCATTGCTTTATAAATAACTGTATTTTTACAGAATGTAGAAAATTGAAATTATTATTGTTACTTAATGGGTTCCAGAAAAAATTTACACAAAACATTTTGAGTTCTATACTATAATTTTTAACGGGGCTGCATGTGCTTTCAATTGAAAGCATGTGGAATACTTAGAACATTCAAGAATCTTTTCCTGCATTCAGTTTTCTGCTTATTTCAGAATGGTAACAAAAGATTATGATTTATGCTTAAGTGTATACAACTTTCACACATTAAATAAAATGCAATATTAAGAAAAAAGTTTACTATAAACTAATTTGCAGATGAAGGAATTTCAAAATGGACTATATATTGCATTCTCCAATGTTTTGAAAGAGAAGTGGATTACCACCAGTAAAGAAAGAGTCTGGTGGAAAGGCAAAATGTCTAACAAAAGCCAAGTTGGAAGGAATTAAAGAGGATTTTTGAAGACTGCAACAATGTTTCAATTCAATCTCTAGTTGACTCCAAGAGGCTTTGAAACAAAAACACATATTAAATATCAAAAGAAGTGGGTAATTTTGGACAGAATGGACATGCAAAGATCACTTGGCAAAGATGAAGTGCAGAAGTTATTGCAAAAATTCTCTGAAAATTTGGATGAGGAATTTTACACTACCCTCTCACACTCAACGATCAATAGTAACAGTGGAGTTTATGTCAGTGATCTCTCCTCTATAGTTGCAAATATAAAGTTTTTCAAGAAAAAGAAATTTGAAGGCAAAATTTTGGTTTTGAATGCAATGGGACTGAAAGGACTGAGTCAAGTGCTAATTAGAAAATCAAGTTTTACTATTAGTGTCCAATGATATTTAATGTATATGATGTTGCCCAATTCCTTATATTTGAAAGAATTATTCTGAAGCAAAATATGGCTTCTGGTCAGATTGAGAAAATTTTCACTATGCCAAAATCATACTGGATTAATTGCAACAAGAAAACATTACCTTTGTCAAAAAGGAGGACAACCCTGCAAATGTGTCAGAAATTAGGCCAGTGGAGTATTTGGGCAATTCTCAAAACAGCTGTTTATGAAAAGGGTGAAAGGGAAAAACACAATCAGATGATAATTGCATAAAGTACTGTTTGAAAGATGTGAACTAAAGTCTTGTACAGGAACTTGCACTGCAAACCTAGTTGAATTGATTAGTTTGACAAGGAGAAGTGCAGAATTACAAAAGTAAAAATGTTTAGCTTTTCATCATCTTTCAAATAACTGTTTAGTTCATAGAGTTTTCTATTTTTATAGGTAAAAACTACATTAACAAACTTGTGCAGATTTTTTTCTATGCACCATTAACATTACATAAACATTTAAGGACTTTTTGTTATATAAAATTTTATACTTTCTTTGATAAGATTTTCATGTTATGATAGTGTACAAGGTTAATAGTTTTTTTAACTTAATTTTATATTTTATTTTTGTATTAGGTTATCTTTTTGAGAGATTTATTGTACAGTGCCTCAACTTGATAAAAGCAATTTTATTATGTGCAGAATATAAACCTGCAAAAGTGCCAGAAGGTAATTTCTTTTAACAAGAAATTCTTTTATTAAATTTAGTTTTCATGAAACATTATTTACATTAAAAACTGTATTTTTGCTCTTAAATATATAAATATTGACTTAAATGAATAATTTTCAGTAAATGAACATTACATTCAGTTTTTTTTATTTATTGACATACTTAATTGAAATGAACTGTATAATTTAAAATTAATTATTTATTATACGATCACAAAAAACTGTGTGAACAAAAGTTTAAAATATAGCTTTTGAAAAAATTCACTTAAATCAACATGTTCTAATGTATTCAGAGTTATTAACAGTAAAAACGTATATCTAATTTTGATTGCTCACTTTTAAAATTAATTACCTAAAAAGAAAAAAACAAAACATTAATCATCTATGAATTATGCATAATATATTATCAAATGCAAAATTTGATAAATCCATTCAGAATATTGATAAATTTATAATAAATCATAAAATAAATAAGTTATAAATTGATGGTAATTTATCATGTTTAATGATGAGACACTACTTATTGATTACTTTAACACACTTTAAGTTGATTGATGATTCACATTCATGGAACAAATAAAATATTAATGCAAATCATTGTTCATACTTTGTGTAATAATTGAAAATAGCTTGATGGAAAATCAATTTTCTGATTCATATAATTTTTTAGGATAATTTTTTTTCTTCAACATTATTGTTATAAGAATATTCAAAAATACAATTTAAAAAATAAAAAAATAAAACTACTTTCTATAATAATAATTTCCTGTTATAAAATAAATTGTTAAATAAGTAATTATAATTTATTATTATTATTATTATTATTATTATTAGATACATTACATTAATAAATCTTATTAATTACATTACATTAATAAGATTT